AAATCACTTCCATCTAATCATCTAGACATGGCTACAACCTATGGTAACATAGGTTTGTCGTATAATTTCACGGGAGATTACTTAAAATCACTAGTATGCTATGAGAAGGCGCTTGAAATACAACAAAAGTCACTTTCGTCCAATCACCCAGTTGTGGCAGCCACCTATAGTAATATGGGTTCAGTTTATTACTCAATGAGAGAATATTTGAAGGCGCTTTCATATCATGAGAAGGCGATTGAAATACAAGAAAAATTACTTTCATCCAATCATCCAGATTTAGCTGCAGTATATAACAATATCGGTCTCGTGCATAGATCAATGGGAGAGTACTCGAAGTCGGTACAATGCTATGAAAAAGCACTTGAAATACAACTGGAATCACTTCCATCCAATCATCCAGACGTGGCTACGACCTATAATAACATTGGTTTAGTGTATAACTCCCTGTCAGATTACTTGAAATCGCTATTCTTTTATGAGAAGGCACTTGGAATACAACAAAAATCACTTCCGTCCAATCATCCAGATGTGGCAGCGACCTATAGTAATATAGGTTTGGTGCATTACTCAAAACGGCAGTACTTGAAGGCACTCTCATACTATAAGAAGGCACTTGAAATTATGCAGAAATCTCTTCCATTCAATCATCTGGATTTGGCAACCACTTACAGTAATATCGGTTTAATGTATAAATCAATGGGAAAGCACTTAGAAGCACTATCATACTATGAGAAAGCGATCGAAATACAACAGGAATTGCTTCCATTCAATCATCCAGATTTGGCTAGCACTTACAGTAATATAGGTTTGGTGCATTACTCAATGGGAGAGTACTTGCAAGCACTTTCATTCTATAGCAAAACTCTTCAAGTTATAGAGAAATCACTTCCGTTGGATCATTCATCATTAACCATGACTTATAACAATATTGCTTTGATGCATAATTCAATTGGAGAATACTGGGAAGCACTCTTATACTATGAAAAGGCACTTGAAATACAAAATACATTATATCCAGCTAATCGTTTAGATATAGCTTCAACTTGCATCAGTATTGCTTTAATGCATTACTCAATGAGAGACTACTTACAGGGTCTTTCATATTGTGAGATGGCACTTGAAATAATGAAGTTATCTACGCGATCAAGTCCTCACTTGCTTATTATTATCCATGGCAACATTGGCTTGATGCATAAGTTAATGGGCGAACATTCCATAGCATTTTCATATTATAATAAGATGCTCGGCATCTTGCGTAGATTCTTACGTCCAAATCAACCATTACTCGCTATCATTCATAAGCACCTTGAACTGATGCAGAAGTCGATAGGCGAATAATCATTATTTTAATATTATAGTCACATATAAAACTGTGTGTTTTAAATTTGCTCATTTGTTCTGATTACTGTTTCATCTTACCTAGATAGGCAACTTCAATACTAGGACACTTCGTTGTACAGACGACTCGTCCCACGACAATTCGTCGCAATAATATAATCCAATTATACAGTATTTTTTATCAATAATAAAGCGTATAATTAGATTAAATTTAAAATACTAATTTTACGGTTATAAAAAATGTTGTGGATGTTCTAAAAATTAAAATACAAATTTTCACAACGGTTGATATTATCGTAACCAGATGAGCTACCAGAATATATTTTTACAGGGTTTATTCTTTCACAAGAACTGTTTATCTGCGACAGAATAATTATCTTTACCAAGATTTTCAAGCATTGCCCCTCTCGCCTTCACCCTCAAGATGGAATAGCCTCTATTTTGATAGCAGAACCTTATACGTCAACACGTCGCATGAGTTCACTGTTAAATATACCCCTGGAAAGCAAAAGTTGCACTTAGTATTTCATTCATTACAACAATTTTCTGCGCAACTTTTTAAAAAGTAAATAAATCGTTGGATAGCTGGTCGAATTCTCTATCAAACTGTCTATTTTGATATTACATAGCTCTTGTCCTCAGAAGGAAGACGAGTGTAGAACAAATGTTCCTCTTTGATCACATTCCCAACTGAGCGATTTTCTCATCGTCGCTCCGATTAGTATTTCCAATATATTTTGGGTATGATAAAATCTTTTTTTTGGAAAAGTAAATATATATTCTGAAAGCGCTAAAAATTCTTTAGAAACTAGGATATTTCTTGCATCAAATAAATCCTCTTCTTTGAGATAAAATTTCATGCCAACGTATACAAGTAAGCTTGACAAGTAGAAAAACTTACATTTTTTTGCTCTTTTCGCTCTCTCCCATTCGTGAAATTGTTACTTCTCGAGAAAAAATTCGCTGCACAAGGGGAAGATAGCGTTGTAGGCTTTGAAACTCTGTATCTAGATCGTCATTTATCCCACATCATCAGTGCTTCAGAGAAACGACTCAATTATTACGTAGACGTGTCTTATCAGTGATCCATATATGAATATGTATAAGAATAAGATTTTGTTTTCGATTTTGTCTATTTTATTTTCGAGAAAAATACATGTTTGATATAAAACAAAAGAAGATTGCATGGAAGCATATATACATATAAATGTGCGTTCATCTTATACATGAAACATATATATTGTTATACATTGATGATAGAAAAAAACCAATGATCAAGATAATATGTTTTTGATGAATTGACTGATGTATGTAGGTATACATCAATAAGGATGTCTCACATACATACACACGCACACACTGTCGTCTGCTGATATTCATAGTTGTTGTTCTATTCAATTATCTATGCGAAATATAAAAATAGGCTTATTGATTTTGTAGTCTCTGCTCTATCTATCTGATGGTGAACTATAAAGAATGATGGTCTCCGTATTTCTTGATTATCTTCACGAGCTCTCACTCGTTCGATCTAACTTTTGAAAAATTCGTCCTTTCATTCTCTACAAAAACAGATATTTTTATTCTCTTAAATAATTTCCTTTTCTTGACACAATCGATACAATCGATTAGTCCAAGACGCACAACTTCCCCCGACAACATCTTGAAAAATTTCACGAACAGCACGTTTTAGAGTAGGATTAGTGGTGTTTTAGATGTCACTGTATCTCAGTCGACTAGTTGAGCGAATTTATTCCAAATGCAGTAATCTAATGGGTTCAAGTCTGGACTATTTGGGTGTGGGTGTGGGTGGGTGATGGTGTGAATGCACGATATCTCTTTAACTACACCCACACCCCACACCCACACCCACACTCACACCCACACCCTCCCACGCCCACACCCGCACACCCACACACCCACACTCACACCCACACCCACACCCCACCCGACAGTAGAAATTTGTTGTATCCAACGAAATCCGACGGCAATAAAGTATGTAGTTTTGCATTTTTGATTGTTAGGCAATATTTGAACTATTTTATAGCTTCTATGACAAAGCGAAACTGTTTTCGCTTAAAATAAATGAAATATATCTAGTTCTGAATAAGAAGAAAAAGAAAGAGTTTTATCCAGGTAGATAAAAAAAAACCATGACTATTATAACATGGCGGTATAAACATCTTTTGGACTAGTCGAGTCAGACCGATGTTGTTGCATGCGAAATGATATACTGATTTTGCTTAAAGATAAATCGAATTTTGAATATTGTTTTCATCTTTCTCATTTTTTTATTTAGATTTACTGGCCAAAATTTAAATTAACTAACAAGTTCAGATAAAATCTAATCATTCTTTCTACATATTTTGATTAGATCTATTATGCAGAATGTAAATTCAGTGATTACTTTATGTTGTCTATTTTTTTAATGCAATTTATCGTTCAACAATCTAATATAACGGTAAGGTCAGATAAATATTTTTATTTGTTTCATAATCTTTATGTGGTTTTACTATTGAACATATTAAAGTAAGGATTATAGCAAATTAAATTTCTTTTCTATATTCTTTATTTAGCTTTACTATTCAAGGTATGAATTTAATGTTAAGTTCACATATTATCATTTGTCGTATTCTTCATCTAGATGTATTTGCAACAATCAACTGTTGTAGTAAGTTTAAATAAAATAGGGTGTGGGTATGAGTGTATATAGACCTAAAGGTGTACCTTCCCACTAAGAACGACAGCTACATCCCCACGAGAATTGGAAAAGAGGAGGAAAGTAGGGGCTCAAATCATGCCTAGTATCCAAATATAAATCCAACAGGATTCTGTCTGATCCTACGTGCATCCAATGTTTTCCATTTGTCGAATCCGACTATCTGAAATCATCGCATTCCACATCCGACAAAAATTCTATACCAAGGAATCCGGCGGGATCAAAATTCGAGATTTTTCGTCCTGGCTATTCTTTCGTGAAGCATTTGAAAAACTTATCTTGACAAAGAATGAGTTGATGAATGTAGCATACATTCGAGAAGTTCGAAGATCAAACAGTGCATTAATGAGTTTTTGATAGATATCACAAACTGACAGTAACTTATCTATTCGTTTGCTTCTATCGTTATATTTTCGAGCATCGTAAAGATGAAAGAGAGAATTTATTTTACAGGTAAGTAAGAATGTAATCTTTTTTGTGATAATATTTTGGACACTTTTCAAATAAACTTTCTGTAAGAGATGTGACCAGAAAATATTGAATAATTAGAAAACAATAAATTTCAGATTTTGCAATCATGCATGGTTTTGACAAGTGAATGATTTTTTGATCTATTATAAAAAATAAAATTGATCGTCACTCTATCATCCCTACAGTCTGAAGTACCTTTGGTCATCGAAGAAAATATTCGAATACATTCGTATTTCATAAGAATAATTGCGAAATGTTATTTATTGTGATATCCATCATTTTTGGAATTATTTCGTATATAATCTACAAGAAACACAAAAATTCAGTGAAGTTTCCTTCAAATGCTTCTCAATACGATCATGCCATAGTTCTTGGAGGCAGTATTGGAGGAATCGTAACTGCAGCTTACTTGTCTAAATATTTTAAACGAATAACAATCATCGAATCCGATGATGTACTAAATGATATATTCATGAAATCTACATCCAGTGAAATACTCGATTATCATTGCCGCCTTGAAAGTCCAACATCACTAGGACGTTCAGGTGTTAGTCAAATATATCAAGGACATGCACTTCAAAGTGAGGGATATAAAATATTACTCAAATTATTTCCTCAACTAAAAGATAAGTTATTCAATGAATATGATGTTCGTGCTTATTCAATGAAAACTGAAGCAAGACTCATGGCTGAGGGTGTATTCGTAAATCAAAATTTAACCGAAGACGTTGACTGGTTTGGTGTTGATCGTTTTACATTTGAAATAATTTTGAGAAAAGAACTGCGTTTGAAATTTGATGATCAAATTGAATGGAAATGTAATACTAGAGTAATGGGTTTAATTGTTGATCAATCATTAAATATTGTTAAAGGTATAAAATATCGATCGAAGAAAAATATTGATTCATCATCGTTTGATATGTATGGTGATTTTATTATTGATTGTACTGGTCGAAATACATCGTCACCTAAGTGGTTAAAAGAGAGTTTCAATTTAATTGTACCAACTATACAGATACATTTTGGTTTTGCTAATGTTACATTTATTGGTGAAAGATTTCGAACTGGTGATTTGTCGCTCGATTCAGCGACTGTTATTGGTACCACAGTTAACCCTCCTCATAAAAATGTTGGATTTCTTGCATCTCCAATACGTATACTAAAAACAATTGATGATAGTTCATTGGGAACAATGACAGTATTTAGCATAAATTGCGTTAATTCAGAATATCCACCAAATGATTCATATGAAAATTTATTAGAATGGGTAAAAGAAAATCTAGACATAGAATATTATACGATACTAAAACAAGTAAAAGTTTATAGTCAATTAATTCCATATCGTCGTGCGATCGATGATCGAAAGTATGTCGAATTATTAGGTAAAAAATGGCCTCAAAATTATATATTATTAGGTGATGCTATGTGTACATTTAATCCTCTGTATGGGCAAGGTATGACACACGCATTTAGACATGCGAGAGAATTGGGAAAAATATTTGGCGAGAGTTGCCATAAATTAAAAGACATCTCTCACATTTTTAATCGTCGTGCTTCAGTAATTACTGAAGAATGTTGGCTTGCTTCAACTGCAAATGATTGGAGAACACCAACATTAAAAGTGATTGAAACAAATAAAAATGGTGATGTTAAAATTTATCAACGAGATAGTGATTCAGCTACGACTAATTATCCTCAACCACGAATACCTTTGATGATTCGATTTATGCAATGGTATAGTCATTGGCTCCTTCAATGTGCATCAAAATCCGGACAATTAGCTACAGATTTTATTCGTGTTGTGACTCAACAGAGCAATCCATTAATATTAATGAAACCTACAACATTCTTCGCAGTCATTCATATTGCATTAATGAATTATTTAAAGGACTGGGGCCTATTTGGTGGAAGATCGGCCCGTAATACTTTCTGAAACAAACTTGTGACTCTCTTATATAGAATGGTAGACCTCAGTGAGTTGAACATTTTTTATGGGGTATGAGTACTATTGTCGATGTATTTTCTTTTCACACGCACGAAACTCCACACACATACCCTCAAGGAATAAATTATTCTTTTTTCCTCCATATTTTTCGTTCTACCAAATTGATCTTATTCTACACATGAGAGAACAAGGAAAAGAAAATGGTAAAGCAAATTGTGTGCTACTCGTTTGACATTATATATCGTTGTTTTGCACAAAAAGTAATGTATAAAGCTGAAATGAACTGGAACGTTCATGTGAATGTCTTTATGTCTTGAACTCAATTTTTTTTCATACTTACTTTTCGGGCAACGATTCATTTTTAGAAAGCTGTTGTATTAGCTGATTTCTTTGGTTCGGTTCTAATCTGTCCTGATTGAGTACAACAACTAACATTCACTTTTCAAAGCACATCTTTTGACAATAATTTTTCAATTCCTAAGAAGATTAAGTTAATTGATGTTGATTGAGCAATATCACTATGTCGAAATACACTCGAAAGTATTAGTGATCTATTACTGACTATTGCTTCGATGGCGTTTTAGCCGGTATTCGGTATATATGAAGTGGATGTGTGTGTCAGTAGGTGCACTGATGTGGGTGTGAATATCAGTGTGGTTGTGGTTCTTATCTTTCTTCATACTCATACCTACACCCTACTTAGCTAAATAACGAATTTCACAGAATTCTCAGTGTATGTAATTTATATTTTGGAAAAGTTTTTGTTGGAAACTTTTGGAGCTGCGATTCTTCCCTTTTCATATTCAATCACTAATATCGCACATATTCATAGGCCTACACCCTACATGTTATGCTCTACACTTCACACACACTCACACCCTGACTGGCTTGCCCGAAGAATCTGAGTGATCGTGGAAAGTAATACAGTATATGCAAGAAAAAACATTGCGTCGCATGTGACGAAGAAAAGTGACAACCACACAAGGAAGGTTTCGTTTCTTCTGTACTTTTCTTCTTTTTCCTCTGTGTACTTTCTTGATACTCCATAGTTTTTGTTTACCGAGAGTGTGGGTGTGGGTGAGTGTGAGTAGGGTTGCGGGTGTGAGTATGAGTGTGAATGTAGGTGTGTGGGTGAGCGTGTGGATGTCGATGTCGGTGTTCATCTCGCTTTCATCCATACCCACACCCACCCGAGATGTGCGCGTGTATTATAAGTTGTAGATTGAAAATAATTATTGCATGATGGTCTCTGGCATTTTTAAGTAAAAATTTTTGTGGAATATTTAATTAATTTCTGTTTTGAAATATTAAAAAGATTGAAGCATCATTATTTTTCGTTAAAACAATAGAATACATTAATATCAAGTTCTATTTCCGAGTGTCGATTTAAAAGAAAATTCATACCCATATTTGCACTCGAAACATTTTCAATTTTTCAATATTTTTGAAAAATTAATCGATTTGAATGTTATTTTATATTTCAATGAAAATTAAATCTCTCAATATATATTTGTCGTAGATATTCAAATGATTGTAATCAATTTGAACTTTTATGTGTTGGATAGAAAACAAAATGATTTGGTATTTTATATGTTCATTTCTGTTAAATTAAATTCAAACTCATCCTTTTTCTTTTTAACTATATAAAGTTTATTATAAAAGAGAATCGCTTTTATAGCTGAATATGTTGGATGAAATCAGTATAGTCTGTTTGTGCTTGAACAATTTTCTAAAGAAATTTATTGAGTTAATTTAAACCTTTACTCCCATAACGGTTCCAGAAGAACCACCGATAAAAAAACTACCGTAATAGAGTACCAGTATCCTCAACATACCAATAGCATAAGCAAATTAACTAGGTGCGCTGCTTTTGGTACTGTGCTACTTCGTCGTACTAGTGACCATTGGGTGCGTGGGTGTGGATGTGGGTGTAGGTGTATGTGGGTGTGGGTGTGAGTATGAGTGGGTGTAGGTGTATATGGCCGGGTGGGGGTGAAAATATAGTGAATACCTACACCCACACCCACATCCTGACAATGAAATTATCCGTTTACAAGAGTAAGTTCATCAAGAAGAACAAGAAATAACTTCTTAAATGTTATACATTGTAGAGAAAAGAAAATGTCTGAACAGATCTTAGCCGAGCAAGACAGATAAATCAAGACGATCGAAGAGTGAGAAAGTCAACTGAAAAAGTAAGTTATAAACTCGATGAATAATTCGATATTTGTTTTTTTTTCTAGGTCGATTGCTAGTCAAAAAGACGACAAAGAACTTATTAAGATTTTGAAAAGGTTTTAACAATATGTTAAGAATTTTGATGGCTGTTCTAATACCATCTTTTCTTTCATCTAGACGTAATGGAGATCTCCAGAGATAGTTAGACGCTTTCGTCACTAATCAAACCTGTAAGTGAAGAAAACATGTTCCATTCAAAACTTTTCTTTGTGTCTACGAATGTCGAAGTAAACAACTACATACTCATATACTTATCTATTTCAAGTTGTGAACATGACTTACGGCATGAGTTAAATCGACATAGGAAGTCGCGCAATTTCTAATTGCAATTCTGCTGTCACACCTCAAGAACATTTCCATAACATAACTACGATAAATTAGTGAAATAGATTGGCTCTACGAAATAATTTTTTTGCTACTTGAAAATTGCAAAACATAACTTTTCTTGATCAGGTCACTACTCTCTCTCAGACGATCCGTAAAAAGAAAATTAATTAATTCTGCTTTCAGTTCGTCTTATTTTCAATTAAAATAATGCACAAAAAAAAGAATACTAATGTCATATTTGAAAATTAATGGATATGTAATCACAATGAGTACAAAATAAAACTGTAATTGTTTAAAATTTTTTCAAAATGAGGTGAAAATTTCAACAAGTATCATAAAATATTTAGTTCGAAATTTAATATGTGACTTTTTCAAAGACAAATAAAATAATCCAAGAATTATACTCCATATTCAATTGACAAAGGAATTCAGTTAAAAAAATTAATACGAATCAACAATGTTGAATAAAGCTTACAGTCATTAGAAAATTCTGAAAGTTGTAGCAAAAATACATATATTCCTTCAGTATACAGATTTTGCTGTGATAGCATAGACAACCGTATATCTGACATATTATAGCTATGCTACGAAAGGTCACTGATTTCTTGATGTTACGATGAGTTTAATTATTTAGGCGAGGATGGGTGTGTGCGTACATGTGTAGTTAAATACAAGACTCTCATGCACACGCACACATCTACACACACCCATCATTGGGCATAATAATAAAATTGATTATATTAATTAAAAAGATAAACTTAAAGAAAAAAGAAAAATATTTTAATAATTGAATCATTCGGACGTAGAGTAAAATTCATCTTT